AAAACTAGGGAAAAGAAACTGGAACAGTGATCTTAACTCTTCTGACACCAAAAATAGCATGAAACATTCTTATCCAGGTTTCTGTGCAGATGATTTCAACTAAAAATAAAAATATTTGGAGCATTTATAAGGAACTCTTAAATTTAGATACTGATTTATGGGACACCGCAGATTTTCCATCCTGTACTGTACTTCCAACCTCTCTCTTTAAAAACAAAAACTCCAATATAGCCATAAAACTTAATATAAAAAATAGATTGTAGTTATATAAAATTCACTCTTTTTACAACTATCACTCTTCAAAACACTTATGAACATTTAAAGTTGGAGTGAGAATCACCCCATTTCATCCACTGTACTTCTAAGGAAATTCCTCTATGTTATGTTCAGTTCCTGAACAAGTATCTTGGCAATAGCCACCAGTTTCTAGTGATAAATGATATGGCTTCTCACTATCACTTTCTACATTTAATGCAACATGATGTATCTTATAACAGAAACAGATGCAGCCATGCAATGAGATTCTCTGGGTGGACACTGGACACACTTTCCTCTCTGCTAACACAACAAACAGCAGCATCTAATTACAGAATAGCTTAGTTCTATCTGTGTAAAAAGCCAAAGCTCTCCTGATGTCCACAGACTTCAATTTGTGCTCTTCTTCCAACTTATGCCATTTTGAAAAGAAAATAAGTAAATATGTTTTGGCTCGTTTGAAATTGTGATACCACTTTGGGAGGAAAGCCAAATAAAGAGAGAACTAAACCTTGTCCTGGTAGAAGACTGTATAGGACAGCTCTGAGTTAAATGTCCCAATTTTAGAGACCCTGTGGGCAGCTGATTGCAACCTAGAACCCTTCCACGAGAGGACAAGGGAGCAAGATGCTAAAGGCTCAAAGAGGAAACCCACGAGCCATGACAGCATGAGATTCAGGCCCTGAGGATAGACGTGGTCAAACCAGACCATCATTTTGTGAGTGAACACCAACCTGCCTAGAATCAGAGGATAGAAGGCTGAAACAGGTGCCAAGCTACTTGAAAAACAGGTGCTAATTGAAAAAAAAGAAACAGGCCCTGAAGTTTGATATGCTGCAGATAGTCCAGAATCTATTGCAGTGAAGCCTACTTCAGAACAGATATTCTGGTCTGAGGCCCAGCATGAGAATATTAAAGTGGCCCCAGTGGAGGGTTTCCTGCTGCCGATCAAGACCTGTTGCATATGGGCCAAGCACTGCTGATCTTGTGCTTTTAGCCATACAGTAGCCTTGCAGTCAGAAGAAGAGTTGTCAAGTTTGGGTGCAGAAAGGTGCTATGTCCTGGCCTGAGCAGTAGTCACCAAAACGTACAGGAGCATGTTGAACCAGTGTTGATGATACCAGGCAGGGGTATGAAGAATGTTGAACCAGTGTTGATGATACCAGGCAGAGGTATGAAGATAACCCTCGCTCAGTCCTGTTTGATCTTTAACAGGACCCTGTGCAGAGTGCAAGGCACTTCCTCTTCTGCCAGAAGTAAACAAGTCCACACAGGGAGTCCTCCACTTTGGAAGATCACGCTAATCACCTCCTCATGGCAAAATGAAATGATCCTGCTGAGGTGATCTGCAAGCAAGTTCCTAGCTCTGGGGAGGTGCACAGCCCCTGGATGAATGGCATTCACACATAAGCGACAGAAGCAGAGAGCTTCTTGGCAAAAGGCTGACAACTAGGCTCTGCCTTGCTTCTTGATGAAAAATATAGTGGCCACGTTGTCCATCAAGATATGAATCACTTTGCCCTCTACTTAAGGCAAGAAAGCCTGGCAAGCTAAGCAATCCATTCTGAGTTCTGATGTTTATATGCAGATCATGATCACCTTGGGACAAACAGTCTTGCATGATAACACCATGTGCGTAGACTCTCCAACCAGCAATGGAACAAGGACCACTCAGCAGTCAAAGGTTACTTGTGACCAAGCCAACCTAAAGGGATGCAGATGACTAAAGAATGAGTAAGAGATGGCGGAGGGGATCAGGGGTATCCTGAGTTTTATCTGGAGCACCATCATCAGGCACACCTTTAAAATGAGTGCTTCCGGCTTCCTTGGTGTTTGGACAGACTAAGCTGCACAAGCAACTGGATGGCAGGGAGGCAACAGCTAAACCCAGAGACTCTCTCTTCTCCAAGAGACGCTCTGCCAGGGAGACCAAAGCCTAGGAAGTGGGAATGGGAGAGGGAAGCTGTTTTCTCACCACTTGCTATATATGCAGTCCTAGTGAGCAGAGGGTCACCTGAATACCATTTGGAGCAAATGGATGCAAAAGGTGAAAAAAGCCCATTCCTGTTGTAGAGATTCTGGATGGAGGACTAGTGTTCCCTAAAGTCATCCAGATTGCTAGTCTGTAAGGGTCTCATAGCTGCCTTGTTGCGTGATGAGGACTATGATTGTACAGTTGGGGAATGGACCAAGGCAGCACTCCCTTCTACACACTGAGAATTTGTTTCGCTCCCCCAGCATCAGAATCTGCTGCATTTGCTGATCCCAGGATCCCTCAGTGCCTGAAGTTGCCTCTCTTAAGTAGCATGGGAAAACAGCATATTATTAAATGTAGAAACTCAGCATTGCAGGAATGTGTTCAAACATCTGATTTGAATTATTTTCTTCCTTGTAAAGAATAATTTGTGTATGGGGGGGTTCACCTGATAAGTTGTTCTCTAGACATTACAGTAATTTCCTCCGTTTGGTGGAGCACCTTGGGAAATAAGACAATGCCATGTGTGAACAGGTACGTTGACTGGTTTGTAGAGCTCTGGGTCATTACTACAGCAAAACAATTCAGAATGAATTGATTGCCCTAATGGTAAGAAAGATGCTTAACATCATATTGATGCAGCTTGGTAAAGCACAGTAGTATGTCGTAATAACGTGGGCTCGACAAATTGCTGCCCGAGGCGAGCAGATTTCAGCCAGTCGCTCCATGCGCCCCATTCACCAGAGCTTTGCACATGCGCAGTGCCGGTCTGGCACATGCGCAGTGTGGGGCTGGCGAGTAGCTCTCGCCAGGGTTTGTCAAGCCCTAGTAATAACGGACTGCATTTCCAGCATTAGTCACAGTGAAAAGATGTCACTTACAGTACAATTTGTTGATGAAAAGGATGGTGGTAACCAAGTAAAGGAACACTTTATCTGTGTCCAGTCTGGACAACTCTACTAGAAAATGTCTAGAAGAACTGTTATTAACATTCTGAATTAGAATAAAATAAATCTTCTGAACAGTCATAGCCAAGGCTAATCGTGCGAACACAAAAGGAACAGACAGTGACATCATATCTGAATTAGAATAAAATAAATCTTCTGGACAGTCATAGCCAAGGCTAATCGTGAGAACACAAAAGGAACAGACAGTGGCATCATGCAAGGTTCCTTGTATTGAATACAAGAGCTACTTCATGCTTTGTGGATGCCATTGCCTCAGCATAATTGTGTCAGATGCAGAAGTATCTTCTTTAGATTCAATATCTCTCTTCGGATTACTGCAAAGGATATATGTCCTGTTTTCAGCATCAAATCACAGACAATATCACAAATCTCACTATGAAGCCACAGAAGTGACACTCACTGAGAGAGCAACACTAACATGTAAGGTTAGTGAAATATCACATGATGCTGTTTATGATACTCAGATGGAACTGGTGCAGTTGAGTAAAGCCAAGGCCAGAATCCAACATAAGATGCAAAATTTGGTAGACCAGATGACTGACTTCAAATTTCTTCTCTCAGCTGTGGTTTGGCACAATATTTTGTTCCAAGTAAGGCATTACAAACTCAGTTGAAGAAATTGCAACCACTACTAAGATGAAAAACAATCTTGGTTTTAGTGAGGCTGACAGAGAAAATGGATTTGAAGATGCTATCATGGCTCCCAAAGAAATGGCAAAAATGTTAGGAATTGAGTCTGACTTGAAAAACTCAGGTTTGGTTTGTGGGGTTTTTTTTGTTTTGTTTTTAAACAAAAGCATAGGAGTGGTTATGGAAAGCTTGGTTTGTGGGGTTTTTTTGTTTTGTTTTTAAACAAAAGCAGAGGAGAGGTTATGGGAAGCTTGAATGAAAAATTTAAGAGGGAAGTTTTTTGTTTGCTTGTTGATACTGCTAAGTGTCCAAAGAAAGGTCTGGATAAATGAAGCACCAGAAAAAGAGATGGAGGTTTTCATATGACCTCAGTAAGCAGAAAAATACTTTTGAGTAATTATATAAACCTTAACCTGACACTGAAACATTGAGAATGTTCAAATGTCAATGATAAGGTGTGATGAGCACAGCTTTTCACAGCTTAGACTCATTAAAATATATTCAAACGACAATGGCCAAAGAAATGAGAGACTGAAACTGCTCGTTATTCTATTGCTTGAAGATGGCATTGGCCAGCCTTTGAATCACTGAAGCTGTGCATGTTCATTAGAGCAGAAGCATGAAAACCAACCTTTTGAATTAAAGAACTAGGGTTAACATTCTGAGACAGTCATCTATATTAACACTATTATTTGTCCACCCAAAGTTGGTTCACACTTTAATTTCTTCACGTTAATACATTTCAGTTATTTTTAAAATTAAGTTTCTATAAGCTTATAGGAAAGAATTGTTTTATTTGCTTATATAGGACATAATTTACAGAATCTCGTGCAAATTTATCATCTTACATGACAGGGATACATCATGCATGCAAATCATGAATGAAAGTAATGAAATGCGCTATTGTATACAAAAGTTTAAAAATGAAGGGGGCACCCAAGATACTCATCTGGGGCACCATCTCGTCTAGCTTAAGTCCTTTATATACCTTAAAATAATAAATAAAACAATTACTTCACACTACTGTTGCTCTTTAGTGTAACACTGACCGCTAATATGGCTCCTGAACCACTAAGATATGAGTGTAAATGAAATATTTGTTTTGTCATCACCCTACCTACCACATCACCTGTCTCAAAAATACATGAAGCCACTTATAAAGAGAAGGTTACCTCTATATGCATTGCAAGTTGCGCTTTCTCCTTGTCCTTGTGCTCTATGCATCGCTTCAGCTCTTCTACCTCTGACATGACAACGTTATGATTCAGTTTAGCTCTTAACTCCAGGATCTGTTTTTCCAACACTTGCTTCTCCCGCTCAGACCTTTCAACAACTACAAAAAAAGAGTGATCCATTTGTGAACAAATAAACAGCACTAATATGCTAAGTGAAAGCACTGAAGCCTAAGAGATTAAAATTCTCATTCCTACATTTGCAGTACTATTTTCTTCTTCCCATATAAATTATGGGTTATTATTGGGAACATATGAATATCCTATAGTGAAGAGTACTTTATAAAAGATTATCAAGATGTATGACTTTTTACATACTTACCTAGATACAGCTATGTTTTCATGCTTATGCAGAACTTATAATGTACATTTCTATATAAAAACTGCAGTAATTATATCAGCTGTTCTTCAACTGATAATCAAGATTCTTCAGTTATTAACCTGTTCAAAATTCAGAAAACATCAGTCCCTACCCCGTCTCATGACACACTGTTCCACCCCCAGACTACTTTCTGTTGAAAGTTTGCTTTAAGCTCTATTCCTGTTTTCGGTAAAATTGCTCTAGGACAAGTTTTGTTTCTTTCTTTGCGTTTTATATCAACATTTTAGTGCATAGTTATAACTCCAAAATAAATGATGGAAAGGAATATAAGGCTCATATTATTGTTGCAAATAAACTCAATTTTAAGCAAAATGGTTACTGTATCAGGTGGTTCAAAATGACTACCAATTCACCTGACAAAATGGGTCTTTGCCCATGAAAGCTTATGTGCCAATAAATCTGTTAGTCTAGAAGGTGCCACAGGACTTCTCGTTGTTTATGCAGATTCAGACTAACACAGCTAGCCCTCTGACAGAGAGGGAGGAATGGCTCAGTGGTTTGAGCATTGGCCTCCTAAACCCAGGGTTGTGAGTTCAAGGCTTCTGAGGGCCAGTAAGGGATCTGGAGCATATCTTCCTAAACCCAGGGTTGTGAGTTCAAGGCTTCTGAGAGCCAGTTAGGAATCTGGGGCATATCTGTCTGCGCCAGAAAAGATAATGGAGCAAGTAATTAAGGAATACATCTGCAAACACCTGGAAGATAAAATCTATAAAGATAAAAAGTATATAAAATCATGAGTAGTGTGGAGAGGGTGAATAAAGAAAAGTTATTCATTAGTTCCCATAATATAAGGACTAGAGGACACCAAATGAAATTAATGGGTAGCAGGTTTAAAACTAATAAAAAAAGTTCTTCTTCACACAGCGCATAGTCAACCTGTGGAACTCCTTGCCAGAGGAGGCTGTGAAGGCTAGAACTATAACAGAGTTTAAAGAGAATCTAGATAAATTCATGAATTGAATTGGAATAGGAATGGTGTCCCTGACCTCTGTTTGTCAGATGCTGGAGATGGATGGCACGAGACAAATCACTTGATCATTGTCTTCAGTCCACTCCCTCTTGATCATTGTCTTCAGTCTACTCCCTCCGGGGCACCAGGTGCTGGCCAGTGTTGGCAGACAGGCTACTGGGCTAGATGGACCTTTGGTCTTACTCAGTACGGCCATTCTTGTGTTCTTATAATAAGGTGATAGGTAACAACCAGCATGGGTTTGTAAAAACAAATCATGTCAGACTAATCTGATAGCTTTCCTTTGATAGGATAACGAGTCTTGTGGATAAAGGAGAAGCAGTGGACATGGACGTGGTACACCTAGACTTTAGTAAGGCATTTAATATGGTCTCGCGTGATCATCTTATTAATAAACTAGGCGGCTACTGGGCTAGATGGACCTTTGGTCTTACTCAGTACGGCCATTCTTGTGTTCTTATAATAAGGTGATAGGTAACAACCAGCATGGGTTTGTAAAAACAAATCATGTCAGACTAATCTGATAGCTTTCCTTTGATAGGATAACGAGTCTTGTGGATAAAGGAGAAGCAGTGGACATGGACGTGGTACACCTAGACTTTAGTAAGGCATTTAATATGGTCTCGCGTGATCATCTTATCAATAAACTAGGCAGATGGGGCTACAGTAAGGTGGGTGCATAACTGGCTGGATAACTGTTCTCAGAGAGTAGTTATGAACGGTTCACAATCCTGCTGGAAGGGCATAACAAGTGGGGTTCTGCAGGGGTCTGTTTTGGGACCATTTCTGTTCAATATCTTCCTCAACAATTTAGATACTGCCATAGAGAGAACACTTAATAAGTTTGCAGATGATACCAAGCTGGGAGGGGTTGCAACTTCTTTGGAGGATAGGATCATAATTCAAAATGATCTGGACAAACTGGAGAAATGGTCTGAGGTAAATAGGCGATTGTGTAGGAAGAGTACTGCAGAAAGGTATCTAGGGGTCATAGTGAACCACAAACTAATGTAATGTAAAGCGCTTCGCTTAGGAAGAAACAATCACTCAGTCTCAAACATACAGAACGGGAAGCAACTGTGTAGGAAGAGTACTGCAGAAAGGTATCTAGGGGTCATAGTGAACCACATTAGTCAACAGTGTGACACTGTTGCAAAAAAAGAAAATATGATTCGCGGATGCATTAACAGAGTGTTGTGAGCAAGACATGAGAAGTCATTCTTCCACTCTACTCTGCACTGATCAGGCATCATTTGGAGTATTGTGGCCGGTTCTGGGCACCGCATTTCAAGAAGGACGTGGGGAAATTGGAGAAGGTCCAGAGAAGAGTAACAAAAATGATTAAAGGTCTAGAAAACATGACCTATGAAGGAAGACTGAAAGAACTGGGCTTGTTTAGTTTGTAAAGGAGAAGACTGAGAGGGGACATGATAACAGTTTTCAGGTATCTAAAAGGGTGTCACAAGGCGGAGGGAGAAAAATTGTTCTCCTTGGCCTCTGATGATAGGACAAGAAGCAATGGGCTTGGACATTAGGAAAAACTTCCCAACAGTCAGGGTGGTTAAACAGTGGAATAAGTTACCTAGGGAGGCTGTGGAATCTCCATCTCTGGAGATATTTAAGAGCAGGTTAGATAGACAGCTATCAGGGAAGGTCTAGACTGTACTGAGTATTGCTGTGAGGGCAGGAGACTGGACTCGATGACCTCTCAAGGTCCCTTCCAGTTTTAGTGTTCTATGATTCCTAAAAGTGTTGCAAATACAAGTGTTAACTAAAGGTAATCAATAAGGATAAATTGTTATTTCTGAAGGATAATTTGGATGTTTAATAGGCATTTCAGCAGATTTTTTAATTAAGCAAAATTCTACATAGAAAAGTGAATCTTGGACTGTGCTGTAATGTGGTGTTAACCAACATTTCAGAAAAATATTATACAAAATTTGCATAGTAAATCTTTTGATACTTTCAAAACAGTTCAAAAATTTCTCTTCTACGAAGAAATAATTGATGCTGGCTCAACTGAATAACCTGATACATTGGGGGAGGGGGGTTAAACCAGTATGAATATATTTTAGTCACCTCATAAATATTGTATTTCTCCCAACTATTTAGCTATTAACATCTCACAATAGTACTAACAAAAGTTAATTGAGCTAAGATGATAACCAGCAGTAATAGTTCAACCAACAGAGGATCTAGATTGCAACTCAAAGACAGAGATCATTCTTTTGCAAAGTTGTAAATTGATCTCCCATTAAACAGGAAAAGGATGTACCTAATCTGCTTCTTCTGTCATCCTCTTGCTCATCATAACAGTTCTGGCGGTGCAAGGCAACCTGTGAAACTTGATTCTGCAAATCCATGCGGTCTTCTTCTGCTCTGAGTAATTGGGAACGGAGACCCTCCATCTGACAGATAGACAAGTACCAAAAATTGAATAAAACAAAACAAAAAATACAAACAATTCAATTCTACCAAATATCATAAACTTTAAAAGACTTGATATAATTACCACTTTTTTAGTAGATGCCTAAATGCTTAGAAACGGTAAGCATAAAAGAAATGGAAGTTCATTCCTAGATATAAGAAACTGATTATCCAAATAACAAATGAACCATTATAAAAATCACTATCTTGCCAGTTGCAAGGAAAAGGTTTAATTTAAACCACCAAGTTCTAATAATTTTTCACATGCTGTAATTGGCTTATTCTATCTCCATAGCTGATTCAAGAAAGGGGAAAAAAAAAGATTAGTCATCAGAAGTAGGATATGTACATATCAATGCTTCTTGATATGAGAAGAGTGCATTCCACAGCTCACTTTTCTTTCTGAATATACTGTATGGCACATTTTAACAATGCAAAGAATATTTGATAGAGCACCATTAACGTGTGTGCTAAAGCAAGCCAAGCACAGAACCAAAATTAAAGCAAAATATTAATCCACCACACTGTCCCAAGACACTTCATCATGTATGAAACATAATACAGTAAAAGATGTGTTATCTGGCACTTTACCAACCAGAAAGCTCTATAAACCAGCATTTCTGATTTTAATTGAAAGTCCAGTTTATAATCTTGTTGGCACAGGGTTGTCAGGCTCCCTATCTGGCTCCACAGAAGTATTAACATGTCCCCGCTGCTCCTAGGAAGAGGAGGAACAGCCACAGGACTCTGTGCACAGTCCTCACCCTGCCCCAAGCACTGGCTCCGCATCTCCCATTGCCTGGGAAATGTAGCCAATAGTAGCTGTAGTGTCAGTGACTATAGCGGAGACAGTGCACAGAGCCCCCTAGCCGCTCCTTTGCCTAGGAGCAGTAGGGACAGGTCACCACTTGTGGGGAGCCACCTGAGATGAGTGCAGCATGGGAGCAGTAGGGACAGGTCACCACTTGTGGAGCATAGATCTGGCACCCCAAAAACCTCTCCCTTGCCCCATACCCTTCTCCAACTTCTCTTCCACACCTAAACTCCCTCCAAGGCCCTGCACTCATCTTCCCCCCTCCAGCCCAACGCCCAGCCACTCCTACACCTAAACTCCTTCCCTCCGAGTCAACCAGTATTTTTTACTTACCAGCATCCCCCCCATCTCCCAACATAATGGATAAAGTTTTTATGATATCCCCCTTTTGAGGTACCTTCACACAAGGGGGTGAGCTCAAAATAAAACAGCATTTTCAACTCAGAAATCTGTACTGCTAATAAAAAGTCAAACAATGAATGCTAATAAATCTGAGTCCAAGGTCCCCCTCAACCAAACTCACCTCTTTTTCTTGCTCTCCCAAAACAGAGGGGGAAGGGAAAGTACTGGGAAAAATAGGGAGACTTTTTGATGGCATACAGCAGTGGTCACCAAACAGTAGATCGGGATCCACCAGTAGTATTGGTAGATCTTGAAGCCTCTGGCAGGTAATCCTGATTGGTTTGGCCAAGAAGCTATCAAGCACTGGCACTTCAGTTGGTCCTCTACCCACTGTCATGCCGCTCCTGCCCTCTGCCTTGGAGCTACCCCTAGGAGCCTCCTGCTTGCTGTGCAGGATGTGGAAAGGAGAAGATGGGGGCACTGATGTTAGGGTGTCCCTCCTTCCCCCACTCCTGTACCCTATCTCCACAGAGAGAGAAGGGGATGAAGGGAACTTAGCAATGCAAATCTCTGTCACTCTCACACACTGTCTCTCTCTCTGTCACTCACAAACACACACTGTCCTTCACTCTCATCTTCCAACCCAACACCTACGGGGAGAGGGTGGTATTACTTCTTTTACCACCTGCAAAGTTTGTTCATTTTGGTTTTTGACTGGTATGTGCATTTCATAATTTTCATTTCTCTCTTACACTTAGATTTAATTCTTTGACTAGAGAGTTCTAAAATGCCTAACCTGTCATGGCTGGAGTCATTATCCTGTGATAACTGCTGCTCCTGGAAGTAGTAGGCATGTCCCTGCAGCCTCTGAGAAAAGCAGAGCAGGGGATCTCCACATGCTGTCCTTGCCTGCAGACACCACTACTGCAGCTCACATTGATCAATTACGGAGAACCGTAGCCAGTAGAAGCTTTGGGCTCCGTGCCTGGAGTTGAGGGCCAGCACATGGTGCCATGGAGCCATTGCTGTACATGTCATCTGCTTTCAGGAGCAAGGCAGAGCCAGGGCAGGAGTAAGCCTGCCTTAACTCCGCTGCTCCACTGCCCAGAAGCCATCTCGGTTAAACAGTGGCCAGCCACAGCCTGCTTCCTGAACCCCTGTCCCAGCCCTGAACCTCTTCCTATACCCAACCTCCTGCCCCATATGTGAGTCCCCCTGCACCCAAACTCCTTCCCAGAGCTTACACCCTGAAACCCCTCCTGGACCCCAATCCTCCACACTGGGCTAAGCACGGAGCCTCTTCCCCACTTCAACCCCCTTGGCCCAAGACCAGAGCCTGCACCCCAACCCCCCTACCCAGCCTGGTGATCATGAGTGAGGATGGGGGAGGAAGGCAGATGGAATGAGCAGGGTGAGACTCAGAAGGGGTGGAACAGGAGTAGGGCCTCAAAGAAGGGGCAGGAAGGAAGCAGGGCAAGGGTATTTAGGTTTGAGGTAGATCTTACATTGCACTTAAATTGAAAAAGTGATCTTGTGGTTAAAAAGGTTGGCAACCACTGCCACACAGGATTCCTGGGTCTTTCAGATTTAACATTTTCATTGTGCATTGTTCGGGCCTAAAAATATACACAGCATAGTACTTTTACTATATTTATATTGTTACAAGTTTCTCTACTCTACTTTCAAGTCTAGAGTCATTATACCCGGGGTATCCAACACGCTAGCCATTAGCCACGTGTGGCTATTTAGCCAGTTGTATGTGGCTAGCTTACTTGAAAAATGTAGCCATTTAGCTGGTTAAGCGTGGTTAGTTCATTATAGCAGTAGCCACTATAATGGCTAAAACTTTACAACACCCGGG